TCTCTCTCTCTCTCTCTCTCTCTCTCTCTCTCTCTCTCTCTCTGAAACAGGGTTTCTCACTGAACCCAGAGCTCAGCTAGACTGGGCTCCATCTTTCTCTACCTCACCCCCGTGCCCCTCCCCCGCCTTCTATATAAGGCACAGAGGATTCAAACTCAGGCCCTCATGTTTACACAGCAGGCACTTCAATGCCTGAGCTATCTCCCTGTCCTGTGTTGAAAGTTAGAAACTAATTGAAAAAAGTTAGCTCTAATTGAAAGTTAGAACTAAACACTTTGATAAGAATTTCTTTCCATAACTCCTGCAGCCCTTCTGGAGTCTGGGCTCCTCTATCTCCCCTGTGCCCACTCAGTCCTGACCTGCTGTGGCAGCATCTTTGCAGAGAGATATTCAGCTCACTTCCTCTCAGCCACCCCGCTCCTGGCTTGGCTTGCATGCTGTCCTGTCTCTGTTCACTTCTCATCGAGGCCCTCGCCTCACTAACCCTGTTTCCACTCTCTGCTTCACCCTCCCACCCCACCCCTCTCAGCTCTTTCCACTCCCTGTCAGATCAGGCATGTCGTGGTCCCCAGGCTGTGCACTGGCTGAGTGTTGGGAACAGGATCTTGTATTTAGAATGGCGAATAGCATAAAGTAGATGCTCACCTAACATAACCCTCACACTGGCTGGAGCACCGTGGAGCATTTTCTGTGAAATGAGGGAACAAGAGGAAACAGAGGAAGACCGTGGCAGCTGCCGGTCGGTCATAGACCAGGGGACCTAGGTGAGGTGGGTGGGCCAGGCCTGAAGTCATTGTGTTAGGGAAAGGACTAACTATGGGGCAGCTTCCTGGGGGCCTTGCCTCTTCTGAACTTACCCACTGAGACCCTAAACGCACTGGCATCTCTTTGGGACTCGTTAAATGGCAGCAAAGGGAAAAAGCAGACGCCTGAATTAAGCTTCATGACATTAACTAGGAGCTGGCCTGGCCTTGGGGTGGGGGTGGGTGCTCTCTGGGGTGCTGTTGACAGGGCCAGATCCAGGGTCCAGGCAGCTGTTTCTTTTCCAAGAGGTCCCTGTGCTCTGCTGGAGGCGGAGACCACAGATGTGGGATTGTCTTTTCATTAGCCTAATGCCGCCTTTATTAGCAGGGAAGCGTTCTTGGAACCTGCCGCCTGTGAGCATGAAATAAAATGCCCTGCACGTGCACTGGCCCTGCTGGTCCACAGTGTCCCTGGGGTCCGGAACCGGGCCAGGCTGCCAGGGGCAGTGGCCAGGGCTACAAGGTGGATTTGTGAGAGGAAATTACTCAGGATGCTTCAGGGATCTGCATCTGTGAGCAGCCTTGGAGGGCAGAGCCCGAGACGAGGCGCAGGCAGGTGGGGCGGGGGTGGGGAGCGCTGTAGGCGCGGGTTGCGCGGAGTTACCTTTTTGGCTCCTTGCTCTTCCTCCACCCCATCGCCTATCACAATGTAGACAGCTTTTCGTCCAAACCTCTGCATGATCCTCTCGAAGCAGTTCTCCTTGCCTGCATGGAGATGGGAGGGAGGAAGGAGACCATAGCCAGGAGAGCCCGCAAGGCGTGGGACAGTGTAGGTGGCGGCTATTTAGGGAAGGAGAGCATAGCTAGGAGGTCCAGGGCAGCCGCCGCCACCCTTTCACCCACCCCCAGCGAGCTCAGCACTGCCATTAGTCTCACAAGAAGTGACCAACTTCAACCACCCAGATAACTGAGCAGCTTGTCCCCAGGAAGAGACCAAGCAGGGCAGGAAGCAGGCGCCTGTCTATCTACGGTGCTATTTGGGCCTCGGGAATGCACAGTAACAGAGGACTCGCTGTTCTGGTTTTAGTCTGCAGGACTGCAAACCCAGATCCCAAATGCACAACGGTAGGCATGTTTCTACCATGGCCAAGTGTGGTGCTGCAGGCTTGCCGTTCCAGCTACCTGAGAGGGTGAGGCAGGATCCAAAACCCAAGTTTAAAGCCTACCCTGGGGTGTAAGTGGGTTCAAGGCCAGCAGAGCCAACTTAGTGAGACCCAATCTCAAAATAAGAAGTAAAAACATGTCTGGGGGTATAGCTCAAGGATAGAACGTTTGTCTAGAGTGATTGAGGCCCTGGGTTCAGTTCCCAGGACCACAGAGAATAATTATATTCTTATCTTTCCCTAGTAAGAAATTTAGGGCCGGGCGGTGGTGGCGCACGCCTTTAATGCCAGCACTTGGGAGGCAGAGGCAGGCGGATTTCTGAGTTTGAGAGTTCAAGAGTTCGAGGCCAGCCTGGTCTACAGAGTGAGTTCCAGGACAGCCAGGGCTACACAGAGAAACCCTGTCTCAAAAAAACCAAAAAAAAAAAATAAATAAAAAAAAATAAAAAAAATAAATTTCGGAAGGAAAAATGACTTAGCGGGTAAAAATGCTTGTGTAAGTGTAAGGACCTGAGTTCAGATCCCAGCACCCATGTAACAAACTGGAAAGGTCCCTGTACACACACACACACACACACACACACACGCACACACCCACCCACGTGCACATACCCAAGTGCACACATACATACACATGCATGCACACATATGCACAGCAATACACTCGCACACGTCCACACATGTATACCCACGTGCACATCCACGTGCACACACATACATGCATGCATACACACAGGAATGCACTCGCACACGCACACAGGCATGCAGGCAGGATAGCTAAATAAACAATAAACAAATGAGTTCAAGGCCTAAGTTCAGGGAGACACCCTGATTCAAAATGGAGAAAGAGGGAGAGTGATAAAGGCGGCTCCCTATGTCCCCAGGCCGAGGCCTCTGTGGCATGTGCGCGTCCACACACACACACATACATGAACATACGTCACATGCATACATCACACTTGCATATACAAAATAAAAGATTGTGAATTAAAAACAACTATAAAGATAAAACCATCTCGACTAACTAGAATTTGTGAGCATATGTGGGGTGTACGCATGTGTGTGCGTGTGGGTGTGCACAGGTGCCCCATGCAGGTGCTGTGGAGGTCAGAGGTCAATGCCTTCCTAAATCTCTATCTTGTTGTTTGAGACAGGGTCTTTCACTGAACCCAGGTTCTCCAGTCCATCTGGGTCAGCTGTATGTGCCTGCTCACTGCCGGGGTTACAAACGTACAACCATGCCTAGCTTTTTGTTTTTTGTTTTTTCTTGAGACAGCCTCTCACTATGTAACCTTGGCTGTCCTGGAACTCACTATGTAGACCAGGCTGGCCTTGAACTCATAGAGATCCACTTGCCTCTGCCTCCTGAGTGTTAGGATTAAAGTCACACACTACCATGCCCAGCTTTTTAAGGTCCTGGGCATCCTTGGAATTTTCAAGGAACCCAGCAAGGCGCTGAGCGTAATCAGGGCAGGTGATTCCTGTCACTCTACCCTGGTGCTCCAAGTCTAATTACATTCTTTGAAGGGCTGTGACGGTCGTTTGTGGTCTGGGCGAGAGTCCCTTCCCTTCCATGCCCCAACCCCAGCCCAGCCTACCTGTCTTGGTTGCGCTGTAGATGTTCTCAATGGGGAACACAGAGCCCAGACCGTACAGCAGGACTTTGGCCAATGCAGGGATCAGTTGCGTGGTGGTGACCAACACATTGACACAGTTGGGTCTGGGGACAAAGGTAACTTTGTGTCAGTCCCAAAGGTTCTATCAGGACAGTCCTGGTGTCATGGCTGGGTTAGGGCAGGATCTGTTGGTGGTCTGTGGGGTGGCTGGGCTACCTTTAGGTGGGGTGATGCCCACTGTAGCTGCCTCTGGCCTAAGGCTACCTGACCTTGGTGTGCAGTGAGATAGCTCCTTCTTTATCAGTTCATGTGTATTTATATGTTTTTGAGACAGGGTCTTACTGTGACGCTCTGGCTGGCCTAGAACTTGCTATGAGGACAAAGATGACATTCAGTTCGTCGAGATCTTCCTGATTCCTGAGTGCGGGGATGAAAGGTGTGCCCACTTTGCCCAGCTTCTTTCCTTACTTAGAAGCAAGAATATATTGTAAGAGCGGCAAGCTCGTTAGCTACAAGGTCACAGGCCATGTGACACAGACACGTGAGACTGCTTGGGTGAGGACTGGCTTCCACAGGACAGCACAGGTCAGTCCTAATCTTTTGAAAGTTCTGAATCTGGGGCGAGCGATCCCAGCTACTCACAGCAGGTGTCCACTGGACCTTGAAGAGTTAAGCTCCAGCCCAAGCTGGGAAAGCAAGAGAGAGCCCTGCCAAGTGTGAGAATGGGGACATGACCACTGTGCACGGGTGAGGGGTGGCCACTTGCCGAGAGTTGATGAGGTTGAGGGCCTTCAGGGAGTGGGTGAGCCAGAGGTCAGTCAGGGCCTCCAGCTCCGCCCGCAGCTGCAGCCACGTCTCTCTTTTGGGAGCGCCTATCAAGCCTGTAGGAAAGGCAGTGAAGAGGACATTGTCGTGTTAGGAAGAGCTGAGGGGAGTTAGGGAGCTCAAATCAGAGCACTCAAAGGTGACTCAGTGTAGCTACTCTACCTTCAGAACATGCACTGACTGATTCATTTACCCAACCACCCACCTGTCTACCCACCCATCCACCCACCCACCCATTCATCCATCCATCCATCCATCCACATATCCATCCATCCATCCATCCATCCATCCATCCATCCATCCAACTACCATCCATCCATCCAACTACCATCCATCCATCCAACTACCATCCATCCATCCACATACCCACTCACACATCCATCCATCCATCCATACACCCATCCACACACCCACCTACATACCCACCCCCTCACACACTCATCCATCCATCCATCCATCCATCCATCCATCCATCCATCCATCCAT